GCAGATAGCGTGTCTCAGCACTGATCTCATAAAAGTACACAGGTGTGTGAGTCTGTCATCTGTTTAACACACAGCATGTTGCAGCTTCCACTCGCAGATGAAACAAACACCCAGATGTGTCACAGTCAAATGCTTTAAACCAGACGTTACTCTCTGCTGTGACTTCACTGATGATTAAGTGAAAGTTACGCCATTCAAGAGTTAAAGAGAGAGTTCACCAAAAATTGATATTTTGTCTTCTTTTACTCACCTTGATTTTGTTTCTAACCTGTATGACTTTGTTTGAAAGTCATTGGGCTCCAGAACATGCTTTACCTCAGCTGGCTTTTACTGTCTGAAGGCTAAAGAGTTTGTTCCTTTGCATTCAGCTGTTTTTCCTTGACGTTTGCGAGTGTAAGGCAGGCTCAGGCTTGTGCTGGACAAATAAAGGAGACCTAATGTTGGTGCTTTTAACATTTTCCCTTCGAAAGAGTGAGGTTCAATTAAAGAAGAAGAGAAGAGGTGATGATTTAGGAGCCTCGTTAGATTTTGCGGTCACACGTACGCACACAAAAACAGTAATTTACAGACCACTCTGCAGATGCTCAGTGTCATCTTATATCTTCCTTTATATGATGCTCTGCTTTGTATCTTCAACAAAGTATAAATGCCCCTGAATGGCATGAAAACAACACAAGCTGTTATTGGTAGCCAGTTATGATTATTGAGCAGAATAAGGGGCAAACAGGAGCAAATCAGTCAAAATTCTGACTGCACTTATATTTATATTATTATATTTATGTATATTTGCCAGATAAATAGAAATATATAGTTTTTCACCAAGTCACCAAGGCTGCATTTATTTGATCAATATACAGTAAAAACGGTAATATTGTGAAATATTTTTTACAATTTAATATAACTGTATTTTTAATTTTTTAATCGTGATTAATCGCATGTTTTTCCCCCTGCGATTAATCGCATTATGCACAAAATTCAATAATGAATTCAAAAGTAGTGTATTGTGCACTTTTTTCATTTAAAAGTGCAATATGAACAAAAGTGCAGTAACATTTGGTTTGCAAACACTTTAAACAAATAAAGTCCAGCTCACACTGGGCGATTTCGGCCACGATTTGGTCGTCTGAGACAAATTTTGAAAATCCTAAAAGATTCCTATAATCCTAGGCTAAAATCTGTAATCTTTGGTCGTTGGTTTGACATGTTCAGACAGCCGATTAATGGCCGTTGCGATCAAATTTGACCTCCGACGAAATCCTGGCAGTGTCAGAAGATTTGCTGTACAGTCTTGCAATAGGATTTCTCCTACGACGAACGTTAAACTGTCTTTGTTTTTCAAGACAAGCCATGATCAGAATTAATGCTAGAGATTTCTTATAACTGCCATAAACTCCAGCGCTCCCATCCTCCGCTCACGGAATTCATATGATATGTTGTCTTTGCTATGATAAACACCGGTTGCGGCGTTGTTTTCATTTGGGTGTGTAGTGCTGCTTACACTATTCTTCTTAAATACATTTTAGTTTTTCAAATGGATTCCCTTTGTAACATTGTAAATGTATTTTACAGTTACTTTTCATCCGTTTAATGCGTCTTTGATGAAAAAAGTATTACATTCTGTTAAAAAATATGAAACAGCATGGCGGTACGTTATCACGCTATTTTCTCTCACACCCAGCAGCTGATCAGCCGCTGATTCGTGGACAGCAGTGAACGTCACTCACTCTATCAGTTTGTGGTTTTTGGATGTGTACTGTGAATACTTTACTCATTCTTTTCCCAGAAGGCTGTGCCCTACTCATCCTTCATAGTGACTTCAGCATCCACATTGACACATCTCACGTTCTTCGGTGTATCCCACCCCAAATCTGCGGTGAATCCCATGCACCCCACCCCGCAGTCTCTCTCTAAATCCCTCCATGTGTTTTTTTAACTCTTATATTTTCTCACTCTTATACTCAAACCCACCAACTTTTCCTCCTCCCACTCATTCATGGACAGGTTCAGACGAAACCCCTGTTCCTTCTCATGTTGCTATCTACCTCCTCAGTTTTTAATTCCTTCTCCTGCTCAAAAGACCAGCTTATGTTGGTCAAGACTGGTTTATGCCGGTTAGTGCTGCTTTGGTGCTGGTACTGTATATCCGGTGAAGATGGTCAGTGTTGGTGTTTTTGCTGGTTGAAATATCCAGCATCTGAAATACAATGGTTGTTGTGTATGATATCCTACAATAATGTGTGTGCAGTTCTTGGAAAGAATAAAAATGAAGAAGCAGTTGAAAGTAAATTCATTCATGCTTTTTCCCCTATTTCTTTCAACTCATGCCTTAATTTCTACCAAGAATTGGTTAGTAAATATTTGCTTGCTGTCTTTAAGACAGCATTTGGACTCTCAGGTTTAATGCATAGATCAGATTTTTTTGACCATTTTCATTTTTTTTGTTTGCTTTCACACAACATGTCTTGTATTCGATATCTGTGTTTACATCAATCTCCCACTTAAACTAGAATTATTCCATCTCTATACATGTTTAAACATAGATGTCCAGATATTGGATGTATAAAAACTTTACTTCACTACATGCCAAAGCATAATATATGTCATACTTTTTACTGCACTTCATTTCATAAATAAAAGTTGTTGTTTGTTTTACCTTTTAATACTTAAGAACATTAAAAATGTAGTACTTTCTTGTACTCAAGTAAATCTTTGAATTACTTTTGCTTGAGTATAAGTAAGAAAGTAATAGATTTCTAATGTAATTAAGTATTAAATTATATTTAATATGAAACGTAGTGCAGTAAAAAGTACAATATTATGCTTTGGAATGTTGTGAAGTAAAGTTTTCTAAAGAAAAACACCTGAAAAGTACTTTTACAGTAAAGTAAAAATACTTCACTACTGTCCGCCTCTGAATACAGTACAAAATTGCAATATCGTGAAATATTATTACAATATAAAATATTTTTTTTTGCATTTTTAAATATTTTAAAATATAATTTATCCTTCAGAAATCATTCTAATATGCTGATTTGGTGCTTAAGAAACATATTTTATTATTATTAATGTTGAAAACAGTTGTGCTGCTTCATATTTTGTGATACATGTTTTAGTATTTAAGTATTTTCAGGATTCTTTGATGAATAGAAAGTTCAAAAGAACAGCATTTATTTGAAATATATATATTTTTGTAACAACATAAATGTCTCTGCTGCCACTTTTGATCAATTGAATGCATCCTTGCTGAATAAAAATATTAATTTATAAAAAAAAAAAATCTTTCCGAACCCAAACCTTTGAACCGTTTGGGGGAATTGAACCTATAACCTTGCCATCTCTTGCACCACTAGTTGAGCTACAAGAGCTTTCAGTCCTTCTCAGGCACTTCCCACCCACTCCTTTCTTAAATGTAAGACCGATCTCACCAGCCACCTTCTCAATCCCCTTCTCCTCCCTTTACCTCAAGACTTCTCCTCTGATCTTTCCTCCGTCTGACATCACACTTTGAGTTTAACCATCCTGGTTCTTTTAATGGCTACTCACAGCTCTGTTTTAACCACTTCACCTCTCTGTAATAGCTGTGGTTCAGTTCTCCAGGGAGCCATCATCATCATCTCCCACTGAAATGGTAATCTGGTAACGCCGCGGGGCTGTGAATGGGTTCGAGTGCTGGGGAATCCCCGCAGCCAGACAGCTGATGAGAGCTCTCATGGTGGAACTTTTTAAATAAACATCCTTTACACTCAGTAAACTTCTAAAACCAAGTGCCTGTGACTGAAGACCACCTACCAGATGCTCCATGATTTGCTCACAAGACTGGAATATGAGCTTCAACGCCTCTAATCATTGCATTAAAGCTTCCTCTGAAGTAGAATGCGTGCAATTACTTTTGTATTCATGCATATGAACTCAAAGGAACTCATTTTAACAACTTCTCGCTGTTTCTACATGTTTTGCTAGGCTTAGTTGCATTATTACCAGTGTTTGCTAAGCTCACTATATACTTGTATTAATTAATAAACTTTTGTGTGTGACTTGCAGTGTTTTTATTGCTAACTAAAACTAAAATTAAACCAAAATTATTCTTTTATTTGTTTATTTGCTATTTAAAATAAAGCCAAAATGAAATAAAATATAAATATTTAATGAAAAACGTAAGCTTGAAAAACTTAAATATAATATAAAAATTATAAATGTTGCATGGCAACTAACTGAAATAAAATAATTTAAGCTGAAGTGCTAAAATTAAAGCTAAAACTGGAATAAAAGCTAATTAAAGTTAAATAGAAATATTTAAAAAACTAATTAAAATGAGAAAAGCAAATAGCAAAATTACTAAAATACCAACTAAGAATTATATATATAAATATGAGGTGAAAGCGTAAGCTTAAAAAACAGAAAATTCTAAATGTTGCCTTAGCAACTAATTGAAATGGTTTAAGCTGAAGTGCTAAAATTACTAAAACTAAACCTGAAATAAAAATAAATGAAAGCTAAATACAAGCATAACATAAATACAACTACTGATGCACTGACAGCACAACAGCAGCAGTGAATAAACACTGCCTACAGCCGGCAGCAGTAACCGGAGAGGTGTATTGTGGGATGGAGTCAGGGGTCATGTGTAGTGACTGACACACCAGTGGCTCCTGAAACACAAAGAATGGAAGTGCATTATCAGGGTCATAAACTTGTAACACTTACGACACTCTTTGCTTTCACACAGGAACGGCTGTGCGGTTTTGTTTCTTGTTTGAGGGTGTGTGTCTCGTAAAGAGCAGAGCATGAGCATTTACTATTAGTTTGTTGTCTTTTGTATGTTAAACACGCGTGTTTCTGTGGATATGTGAAAATGTGGGTAGAAGCTTGTGATACAGTAGCGTTGACATGGTCATGTCGCATTTGATCTAAATTCTGTTGAACTGAATTCTGAATTTGGGTTTTTGTATTTCCAATGATTAAATGAGAGATTAATCTAACATATCTCTTTTTTTCCCCAGTGACATATTTGATGCCATGTTCCCGGTCACACACATCGCTGGGGAGACAGTAATCCAGCAAGGTACAGTATGGAAAACCATGAGTTTTATATCATACATACAGCACATGTTTGCATCACTATATTAGTGAGGAAATCTCATAGACGATTTGTTCAACTAGTGAGTATTTTATTTTATTTATTATAATATTAATACAATCACTGTTAAAATTTATTATTATACTAGAATAATTTCATACAATCAAGATAATTTTTTCTCCCCTCAATGACAATATATACTTATACTATATATATACAGTGGGTACGGAAAGTATTCAGACCCCCTTAAATTTTTCACTCTTTGTTATATTGCAGCCATTTGCTAAAATCATTTAAGTTAATTTTTTTTCCTCATTAATGTACACACAGCACCCCGGGCCCTATTTTAACGATCTAAGCGCATGGTCTCAGGCGCAGGTGCACTTAGGGCGTGTCTGAATCCACTTTTGCTAGTTTAACGATGGGAAAAACGGTCGGCGCGCCCGGCGCATGGTCTAAAAGGGTTATCCCTATTCTCTTAATGAGTAATGGGTGTGCTTTGGTCATAACTTGCAACAAAAAAACAATCAGAGTCTCATCTCCCATTCCCTTTAAGAGCCAGTTGTGCTCGTGCCATGGCGGATTCGCTATTTACACGGCGGAATTTGCGAGAGCAAAGACTGAACGTGTCTCCAGAGAGGAAACGGAGCTGCTCGTGCGCGAGCAAATAGGTAGCGTAGATTCTGATACATGCAATGACTATCCATTATGACATGTAGGCATTTTTATATTTATGTAGCCTACACAATAATAATATTTTACATTGTAATCCTGTAATTCTTAATATTTGGCATGTTTGTGTGCTGCTGCCCTGTGTGTAATAAGCAGAGTGTATGCGCGTTGTGGACCCGCCTATAGGCGCATATTACTACTTTAAATAACAAAAACATACTGTGCTATTGACTTTAGACCAGGTTTTAGTTGGTGCCTCAAAATAGCAACACGCCAACAATGCGCCTGAACACACCTCGCTTTCAGACCAGCACGCCCATGGGCGCACAAATGGGCACAAATGCACAACGTGGTGCAGGACATGAAAATGATAACTGCGTCGGGCTGAAAATAGCAAAAACCACTTGCGTCATGCCTGGCGCCGCATTGTGCCGAGTGTATGATAGGGCCCCATAATTTTCTTTTTATTTTTTTTCTGGAGTCACAAAATTAACTGTAGTTAATTAATATATCAAGACTCTAAAATATATCAGTTTCTGTTAATAAAAATAAAAAAGTCACTGCCCACTGCCCTGGATTTTTTCTTTTTAATTTTATTTTTTAGTCTAATTTTATTTAATTTACTTTTTTTTTTTCAGTTTTTTTATTTTCTTTTCTTTTCTTTTCTTTTCTTTTCTTTTCTTTTCTTTTATTTTATTTTATTTTATTTTATTTTATTTTATTAGTTTAGTTTAGTTTAGTTTAGTTTACCAAGCTACAGACTAACCCAAACCTAATTCTGATCCTGAAAGAAAATTAGCATTTTTAGTATTACAAAAAAAAACGTTATTTTGTTCCTTTTTTTTTTTTTTGATGATGGAAGGATATCCAAAATTTAGCTAACTTCTGGGAAATCATTTTACTACAGTCTAAATTAGCTACACTTCTGTTGTTCTAAATATGATAGTATTTTGGAACAAAATGGCACATAAATGCAGGCTTGTGTAGCTCAAGGTGTCTGTGGTCATGTAAACTCTACTTGTGTAGAGTACGTTTTTGGGCCTTAGAACATTTAATTCCATTTCATGTAATGTATTTAATGTTACATGACATTTATGCAGCGCACATACAGTGCAAAACACAAGAATGCAAACCAAAGAAATATCAAAAGAAAGATCTCTAAACTGAACAATTTTCACCAATAAATTGCTTGTAAATTTAGCAAATAATTACAAAGAAATTGCAAGTAATACATTGAGCTAAAGGTGCTATTTTGAAGTAGAAAGACTGAAATATCTCAAAGCATATGGAGACGGTAGCTGAAATCTCCAGAAGAAATGTGTCTCTAGAAAACATCTAAACTGTATTTGTAGTCATATGCAATGTGATCTCTATATAAACCCATACATTTCTCATTCAAATTCTTCAGAGACCAATGCTCTCCATCCTATTCTCTCCACATTCAGGCCTACAGTATGCCAGCAGTCACATTAAGACAAGGCTGAATGATGACACCTTCATGTTGAGCTATGGAAGAGCAATCATAAAGTCAAAACCAAGTACTCATACTAAGTTCACAAATGCATTGCAGATTGTTTTAGTTATGTAAGAAGGAACGGTGGGTGATGAGGGTTTTTTATACAGTCAAACTGCATTAGCATTTTTAGTATTACAAAAAAAAACGTTATGTAAAGGCTTAGTGTGTTTGGAGCTCTTTTTGGTTTCATGTGGAGTTGATAAGCGATAGAGAACAGTGATCTGCATGCACGTCTTGCACACTGTCTGTGCAATGAGATTCTTGAAGCAGAGTTTCGATGCATTTATCTAACATGGGCAGATTGCCCATAAAACTAGATCTAGGAATGTGCAAAATTTTGTGTGTAGAAGTGTGCGTTTTTGTTCTCGTCAAATATTTGACTGCACTCTGTGACTCAAGGATATGTTAGCCAAAAAACAGAAACTTCAGAGCAGAGGTGATAAAAGACAGGAAGACAGGAACAATACTAAGAAAAATGAGCTGAACGGGTTGAAAGAGAGAGAGATACGGTGTGTAAGCCAATAGCGATCGGTGAGTGTGTTAAGATAAATTGCTGGTGTGATTTACGAGCGCTTAGTGTGTTTGGTGTTAATTAGCCCCGTGAACCCGCGTGAACTCGGCAGCGCACGGATCACGGGCTCTTTTAACTCTTTGGCATGCGCAAACACACACACGCTCGCTACCAGGATCCCAAACACCAATTTCAACACACACTCAGACATCAAAGAGCCCCTGAACCTACAGAAATGCTTTACGTAAAGGCCTTTAACTTGGAAATGTTGATCGGGGCCCGTGGCTTCTGGCACTCCCAGCCGTCCATTAAAAACTCTCAAATGGGATGTAGATGAAGAAGCCTGGGAATCATTTAGACGACACCGCTCTGGGAGGTGCTGACACTTTTAAAGTGGTGTGCCATCTTTTGTCTTTGATACGCACCACTGTGTGTGTGTGTTCTTGGGAAACGGGGAGTCAGAAAGAGATGGAATCTGGGAACGAGATGGCATTATTTATCTTTTCCTCCTTTCCGTCCTGAATTTAAAGGTCCCATGAAATTAAAATGGGAGTTTTGTGGCTTTTAGGCTGTTTTTGTTAGCTGCGGGGTCATCTAGATGCTAATGCACACTTAAAAGGTTGACCAATTAACTTTTAGCAGATACTTTATAGTGATCTACTCAAAAGTTTGGGGTAAGTAATTTTTTTAGTAAAGAAATTAATACTTTTATTCAGCATGGATGCATTAAATTCACCAGAAGTGATAGTAGAGACTTTTACATTGTTACTTAAAAATTCTATTTCAAATAAATGCTGGTACTTTCTATTAATCAAGGAACCCTGAAAGAAAATACCCACAAAGCTTTTGATCAGTACAACTGCTTTGAACAATGATAATAATAAGAAATGAGGAATAAGAAACTTTTTCTCGTGGAGTGCCTCAAGGATCTGTCCTTGGTCCACTTCTATTCTTAATCTATATTCTTCCTCTGGGTCAGATCATCCAGTGCCATGGTCTAAATTTCCACAGTTACGCTGATGATACACAAATCTATTTTACCGTACAGCCCAATTCTGTTTTGCCCCCTTCTTTTACATCTTGCTTACATGATCTCAAAGTACGGATGGCACAAAATTTCTTAAAGTTAAATAATGAAAAAAATGAATTTCTGTTAGTTGGCCCTAGATCCCTTGTCTCCTCCCAACCTGACTACTCCATTAACATTGACGGAGTTATAGTCCATCCCTCCTCCACTATACACAATCTTGGTATAATGTTTTATTCTAGTCTACGTTTTGAATCCCACATCAATCAGCTTGTCAAATCCTGTTTTTTCACCTTCGTAATATTGTCCGCCTACGAGCATCTTTAAAATTCAAAGGTGCTGAAACTGTGGTTCATGCGTTCATCACGTCGCGTCTGGATTACTGTAACTCCTTGTTTTATGGCCTACCAAACAAAGTCCTTAATCGCTTGCAGCTTATCCAAAATTCAGCTGCTCATGTTCTTACATTTACCAAAAAATGATGCCCACATCACTCCGGTTTTACAGCAATTACATTGGCTCCCTGTCACCTATCGTATTCAGTTTAAGATTCTTGTTTTAGTTTTTAAGGCCTGTCATGGGTTAGCACCTTCTTACCTTTCTGAATCAATTCTCCCCTATGTCCCTGCCCGTACTTTGAGATCGAGCTCTGAAAATTTGCTTGCAGTACCCAAATCCCGGCTATCTAGTGTGGGTGGTAGGGGTTTCTGAATTTCCGCTGCCAAGCTCTGGAATAAACTACCACAAGATCTCCGTGTTATCTCTTCACTCCAGACCTTTAAAACTGCTCTCAAAACTCAGCTATTCACAATGTTTCTTAATGAATTGCTTGCCTTAATTTTCTGTTCTATGCTTTTGTAACTTATCTTGTATATTGCATATTATTTCACCTCTATTTTTACCTTATGTAAAGTGTCCTTGGGTGTTTGAAAGGCGCTGTATAAATAAAACGTATTATTATTATTATTATTAAATGTTTCTTGAGCAGCAAATCAGCATATTAGACTGATTTCTGAAGGATCATGTGACACTGAAGACTGAAAATTCAGCTTTGCATCACAGAAATAAGTTAAATTTTAAAATATATTTGAATAGAAAACATTAGTTCTAATCAAATAAATACAGCCTAGGTGAGCACAAAAGACTTCTTTTAAAAACATTTTATCTTACCGACCCCAAACTTTTGAATGGTAGTGTATGTTCAATATCTTATGTCGATTTTCACAACTGAGCAGAGAAACAAGGAAAAGGAAGAAGGAAAGAGTGCTATTTATCGGTAGTCTTTTTCCTGAAGTTGGTTGATTGGAATAAACTCACAGTTTTCTCTGGTTTCTTTCTCAGGTGATGAAGGAGACAACTTTTATGTGATTGATCAAGGAGAAGTTGACGTGAGTTCAGTATTTCATACCTGTTTCTACAGTCAAATGCACACATGTGCTGTGGTATATGCAAACTTATCACCATAAAGTCATGAAACCAACTTCATTAAGATCTGGGAAAGCAAAGAAACATGTCTACATCTGCAATATATTCATCAGTATAGCAAGTGTGATAGGGTGAATCTTATGAAACCTTTAGGTTATGTGTTACCTGTGTGTTGCCCGTGAGAAATGTACACCTTTTTTTAGAACCATGAAACTTTCATGACAATTAAGCTCCACATTATTCTTACTACTGTGAAAAAAAATCTTATTACTGTAAATAAATAAATATATGCCTGTCCTGTATGATACAAATCTTATCCACTGACCTTTTTTAACACTAAAAAAAGTGGAACACTTACTGTCATTGTTTTACCTTCCCAAAAGATGACATGGATAAAGTTCAAGTGAAATGATGTGTCGTAATCTCCACAGAGAATCCACTTCCCATGTTTTGTTTTAAAGAGAAGATAAGATGCTTTAAAATAGATTTTCTTTGTACATTTTTTCTCTCTTTCTCTCTCTCTCAGAAGTTGTCTTTATCATCCTGGGAATCTGTAGCATTTTCCACCCCCCTTTTTTTGTTTCTGTAGTAAATAGGATTGTTTAGTTTAAAGTGGCCTTTTCCACACTTTTCTAGCATTTTATTTTTTTTCCCCCAGAGTCCATTAATAATGGCAGTCATGGCTTCCTGAACTGTTAACGGTCATAGTTTAGTTTTTATGACCATTTTCCACGCTCTCTGTGACTCTTCAAACAGACTGTTTATGCCACTGTAACTTTAAGATTATATGTAAATGATTACTTTACATGTGAAACAACTAACAACCACATGCCAGGTTGCTGGATAGTGAACAGTACATGAATGAATGAATATGAATATACGCTACTGTTCAAAGGTTTAGATTTGATACGTTTTAACAGAAGTCTCTTAATGTTCACCAAGTCTGCATTTTTTTGATCAGTAAAAACAGTAATATTGTGAAATACGTGTATTATTTAAAATAGCTGTTTTGTATTTTAATATAATTTAAAATGTTGTTTATTCCTGTGATGTAAAGCTGAATTTTCAGCATCATTACTCCAGTCTTCAGTGTCACATGATCCTTCAGAAAGCATACTAATACGCTGAATTTGCTGCTCAAGAAACATTTCTTATTATTATCAATGTTGAAAACAGTTGTGCTGCTTGTTACACATTCTTTCCGGATTCTTTGATAAATAAAGACTTTAAAAAAAGAAAGAAAGTAAGTCATAAGAAAGTTTTTACTGTGAATTTTGATCTATTTAATACATTCTTGCTGAATAAAAATACTAGTTTCCTTGAAAAAATCTTACTGACATCAAACAGTATAGAGCATAAATGTGAGTAGTCATATGGTAATGTGCTCATGCTTGTGACATCATAACATTGGCGATTTCTGATTGGTCCATTTTTGAATCTAGAGATTTTAGAGTATGTCTACATGATTTATCTAGCTTTATTTTATTTTATTTTATTTTATTTTAAAAGAGCAAGAAAGCCCTGCTGATCTCAATGTTCTTAATGTTATTAGCGGTCTTGTTTGTTCTGGGTCTGTTCTCCTCGTGTATGTGCTCAGTGATCCGCTGTGTGATATATCGGTGCTAATATTTCTCCTCTGCTCTGGACGAGCTCTGAGGGCACGTTGAGTCAGCGCTGGGTCACTGCCACATCAGATTGCGGCGTATCGAGCTCTTGGGTCAGAGCCTGCGCACTGAGACCAGCAGAGTCCTGCTCGCAAAATACTGACATTAACCCGTCTGCTCATGTGTGTAAGTGAGAACGCACAGCTCCATAAAGCTCCCAGACATATGCTATCGCGCAGGAATGCATCTCCAATGCTACGGTGATGTCTCTCATTAGCAGAAAGGATAAATCTGCTGTGAATTTGGAGCACATAGTACTGCATGCTAATTGGGAAAGGTGGAATTCATTAACGCGCATCTCTTCTCTTTCACACTCTCGTGAAGAAAACATGCACTTTTAGTCACTTGAAGTAATATTTGCCATTATTTTTATGGAAGTTGTTCCAATATATATATATATATATATATATATAACTTTTTATAATGTAATAAATTACATTTTAAAATATATTTAGATAAAACAGTTTTTTTTTATTGTAATAACATTTCACAATATTGCTGTTTTTACAGTTTTTTTATTAAATAAAATCTGCTGTGAATTTGGAGCACATAGTACTGCATGCTAATTGGGAAAGGTGGAATTCATTAACGCGCATCTCTTCTCTTTCACACTCTCGTGAAGAAAACATGCACTTTTAGTCACTTGAAGTAATATTTGCCATTATTTTTATGGAAGTTGTTCCAATAAAATGACTTAAAGGAACAGTTCACCCAAAAATTATTTTTTTTTTATTGTTTCCTCACAAAAACTTACACAAAAGAAGATATTTTGGAGAATGTGGATTACCAAACTGCTGGTAGCCATTGACTTCCATATGGAAAAAATACTATGGAAGTCAATGGCTACCGGCAACTGTTTGATTGCCAATATTTTAAAATGTATTCAGATAGAAAACAATTATTTTTAATTGTAATAATATTTCATAATACTTTAAAAAAATCTTCTTTAAAAAATATGCATTTTTCAATAAAAAATAAATGAGAAATAAGATATATTATATTATATTATATTATACATTTAATATTATTATATTATACTATATTATATTATATACAATCATAATTGACTCAAAATTATATATATATATATATATATATATATATATATATAT